CGTGGAAATAGCTTGGGGAAACTGCGCTGGGAGGGAGCGAGACCGGATGCTCGACGGGATGAAGCTGTGGAAATAGCTTGGGGAAACTGTGCTGGGAGGGAGCGAGACCGGATGCTCGACGGGATGAAGCCAAGGAAATAGCTTGGGAAAACTGCGCTGGGAGGGAGCGAGACCGGATGCTCGACGGGATGAAGCCGTGGAAATAGCTTGGGGAAACTGCGCTGGGAGGGAGCGAGACCGGATGCTCGACGGGATGAAACCGTGGAAATAGCTTGGGGAAACTGCGCTGGGAGGGAGCGAGACCGGATGCTCGACGGGATGAAGCCGTGGAAATAGCTTGGGGAAACTTCTCTGGGAGGGAGCGAGACCGGATGCTGGACGGGATGAAGCCGTGGAAATAGCTTGAGGAAACTGCGCTGGGAAGGAGCGAGACCGGATGCTGGACGGGATGAAGCCGTGGAAATAGCTTGGGGAAATTTCGCTGGGAGGGAGCGAGACCGGATGCTGGACGGGATGAAGCCGTGCAAATAGCTTGGGGAAACTGCACTGGGAAGGAGCGAGACCGGATGCTGGACGGGATGAAGCCGTGGAAATAGCTTGGGGAAACTTCGCTGGGAGGGAGCGAGAATGGATGCTCGGCGGGATGAAGCCGTGGAAATAGCTTGGGGAAACTTCGCTGGGAGGGAACGAGACCGGATGCTGGACGGGATGAAGCCGTGGAAATAGCTTGGGGAAACTTCGGTGGGAAGGAGCGAGACCGGATGCTGGACGGGATGAAGCCGTGGAAATAGCTTGGGGAAACTTCGCTGGGAGGGAGCGAGACCGGATGCTCGACGGGATGAAGCCGTGGAAATAGCTTGGGGAAACTGCGCTGGGACGGAGCGAGACCGGATGCTCGACGGGATGAAGCCGTGGAAATAGCTTGGGGAAACTGCGCTGGGAGGGAGCGAGACCGGATGCTGGACGGGATGAAGCCGTGCAAATAGCTTGGGGAAACTTCGCTGGGAAGGAGCGAGACTGGATGCTGGACGGGATGAAGCCGTGGAAATAGCTTGGGGAAACTTCGCTGGGAGGGAGCGAGACAGCATGCTGGACGGACGGGACAAAACCGTGGAAAATAGCTTGGGGAAACTTCGCTGGGAGGGAGCGAGACCGGATGCTGGACGGGACAAAACCGTGGAAATAGCTTCGGGAAACTGCGCGGGGAGGGAGCGAGACAGCATGCTGCTGGACGGGACAAAACCGTGGAAAATAGCTTGGGGAAACTGCGCTGGATGGGAGCGAGACAGCATGCTGGACGGAAAGCTGTGCTGGGAGGAAGCGCGACAGCATGCTGGACGGGACAAAACCGTGGAAATAGCTTGGGGAAACTTCGGGGGGAGGGAGCGAGACAGCATGCTGGACGGAGAAGAAAGCGTGCAAATAGCTTGCGGAAAGTTGCGCTTGAAGGGAGCGAGACAGCATGCTGGACGGGATGATGCCGTGGAAATAGCTTGAGGAAACTTCGCTGGGAGGGAGCAAGACAGCATGCTGCACGGAGACGAAAACTGTGGAAATAGCTTGCGGAGAGCTTTGCTGGGAGGAAGCGCGAGAGGATGAGACAGCATGCTGGACGGAGAGGAAACCGTGCAAATATCTTGCGGGGAGCTTCGCTGGAAGGGAACGAGACAACTGGACGGATGGGAAACCGTGGAAATAGTTTCGGAGAGCTTCGCTGGGAGGAAGCGAGATAGCATGCTGGACGGAGAGGAAACCGTCCAAATAGCTTGCGGAGAGCTTCGCTGGGAGGGAGCGAGACAGCATGCTGGACGGAGAGGAAACCGTGAAAATAGCTTGCGGAGAGCTCCACTGGGAGGGAGCGAGACAGCATGCTGGACGGAGAGAAAACCGTGGAAATAGCTTGGGGAAAGTCCGCTGGGAGGGAGCGAGACAGCATGTTGGACGGAGAAGAAACCGTGCAAATAGGTTGCGGAGAGCTTCACTGGGAGGGAGGGAGACAGCATGCTGCACGGAGGAGAGTGTGAAAATAGCTTGCGGAGAGTTTCGCTGGGAGGGAGCGAGATAACATGCTGGACGGATAGGAAACCGTGGAAATAGCTTGCTGAGCTGGGAGGGAGGGAGACAGCTTGCGGAAAGCTTCGCTGGGAGGGAGCGAGACAGCATGCTGGACGGAGAGAAAACCGTGCAAATAGTTTGCGGAAAGCTTTGCTGGGAGGGAGCGAGACAGCATCCTGGACGGAGAGGAAACCGTGGAAATAGGTTAAGGAGAGCTTCGCTGGGAGGGAGCGAGACAGCATGCTGGACGGAGAGGAAACCGTGCAAATAGGTTGCGGAGAGCTTCGCCGGGAGGAAGCGAGATAGCATGCTGGACGGAGAGGAAACCGTGCAAATAGCTTGCGGAGAGCTTCGCTGGGCGGGAGCGAGACAGCGTGCTGGACGGAGAGGAAACCGTGCAAATAGGTTGCGGAGAGCGTCGCTGGGAGGGAGGGAGACAGCATGCTGGATGGACAGGAAACCGTGGAAATAGCTAGCGGAGAGCTTCGCTGGAAGGGAGCGAGACAGCGTGCTGGATGGAGAGGAAACCGTGGAAATAGCTTGCGGAGAGCCTTCCCAGGAACTCCAACCTCCTTTATTTAACATTTAAGGTAACCTCGCTTGAGTTATTTAAGGAAGGTTAGCTTAATTAAGGAAGATTGTTACTAAGGAACCTTTCTTAATTAAGAAAACCTTCCCTTAAATAGCAGAACCTTTCTTAAATATTACCTTAATTAAAGATGATTTTCTTTATTAAGAAAGGAAAACTCTTAATTAAGGCAATCTCTCTTAAATAAGATAGGTTGATTAGGAGAGGTTTCACTAATTAGGAACGGTTTCACTAAATAACAAAGGTTGGAGGTTCTGGGTTGCTGGGAGGGAGCGAGACAGCATGCTGGACGGGACAAAACCGTGGAAATAGCTTGCGGAGAGCTTCGCTGGAGGGAGCGAGACAACATGCTGGACGGATAGGAAACCTTGAAAATAGTTTGCGGCAGAGCTGTTGGCACGGGTTTTTTCAGGACAAATGCCATCATTGCGATTGGCCTGAAAAAATTGTGGACCCAAGACTGGTCAAATGGTCCCAAGACCGGTCAAACGGTTTGCAAAGGCTGAAAAATGGGACATGCACAGAGAAGCTTTTACACAAAAAAAGCCTTTACACAGAAACTTTGACACACAGACGCGTTTACAGAGACACAGAGGAGTCTTGACACAGAAGCCTTTACGCACAGAAGCTTTTTTGCACAGAGTAGCTTTTACACACAGAAGTCTTTACACAGAGAAGTCTTGAGACAGAGAAGCCTGTACACACAAAGGCTTTTACAGAGAGAAGCCTTTCGCACAAAGAAGTCTTGACACAGAGGAGCTTTTACGAGAGAAGTCCTTACACAAACGAGATTTACACGCAGAAGGTGTTACAGATAGACGTTCTTTCGGCGCACAGAAACTTTAACACAGAGCAGCTTGTACACACAGAAGCTTTTACACAAAAAAGCCTTTACACAGAGAAGTTTTTCACACAGGAGCTTTTGCACAAGAAAACTTTTACACAGGAAAGCTTTTACACACAGAAACTTTCACACACAGAAGCTTTGTACACAGAGAAGTCTTTGCACAGAGGAGCTTTTGCACACAGAATCTTGTACACACAGACGCTTTCACACACACAGAGGAGGTTTTACAAACAGACAACTTTACGGCGCACAGATTTTTTACACAGAGCAGCTTTTACGCAGCGAAGCTTGTACACACAGGGGGCTTTTTTACACAGAAGCTTTTACATAAGGTTTTTTTAATACACAGAAGCTTTTACACACAGAAACCTTTACACACAGAAGCTTTTACACACAGAAACTTTTACACACAGAAGGTTTTACACACAGAAGCTTTTAACACAAAAAAACCTTTAAACAAAGGAGCTTTTACACACAGACGGGTTTACACAGAGAAGTCTTTACACACGGAGGCGTTTACACAGGAAAGAGTTTACACGGAAGCGTTTACACAGAGTAGTTTTTACACAGAGAAATCTTTACACAAAGAAGTCTTGACACAGAGAAGCTTGCACACACAGAGGCTTTTACACACAGAAGCCTTTTACACAGAGCGGCTTTTTCACAGAGGAGCTTTTACACAGAGGAACTTTTACACAGAGAAGCTTGTACACTCAGAGGCTTTGACACAGAGAAGTCTTTTACACAGAGAAGCTTTTGCACACAGAAGCTTTACACAAACAAAACCTTAACACAGAGGAGCTTTTACAGACAGAAGCTGGTACGCAAAGAAACTTTCGCAAACAGAAACTTTTACACACAGAGCGCGTTTTACACAGAAGATTTTACACACAAGAGCTTTTACACCAAAAACCTTTACACAGAGAAGTTCTTGCCCACAGAAGCTTTTACTTGCAGAAGCTTTTATGCAAAGAAGCTTTTGTACAGAGAAGTCTTTACCCATCTTTTATCATGTCTCATTTTTCATGATCATTTGCCATCTGTCACCTTCATATATATCTTCGTTTTCATGCTCTTTTGGTCAGCTCCCTCTGTCGTTTAATTTTCATTTCGTTCTGTCCGTCCACGCTTCGTGCTCGCTCCCTCTGCGGCGAAGCAAACTAAACGAGAACGCAGAAATAGATAGCGACTAGACAGATGGGATAGAGTTAATTACATTAACAGAAATAGCGACTAGAAGACTGTAGGCGTAGCTGACACAGCATGCTGTGGTGAATCGTGGCCCCTGATACCATCAGTGCGCACGATGTTTAAGCAAAGATCTTACGTCGATTTCGTGCAGAGCACAGCTGGCCACACCCCAAGATTTTCAAGAAAAGGCGTGCTGTGTGCCGTCTTGCTTTTGGGTTCTCTGGCCCACCTTGTTTCCATATATTGTGATTCATTCATCATCCCAATGGTAACATGGATCCCATCAAATTTTCGTCCGAAGCAGCTGCGGTGGCGGTCTTTTTGTCACGCCCAGCCCATGTTCCTCCGAAGCAGCTGCATCTCGGCCTGCAGGGCTGACCAATGTGCCGCCTGGCGAGTTCCGTTGTGACTCGACACGTCGCCTGGAGAAGCATTGCCGGTTGAGATTGATATAACAGATATATAACAGAAAAATAACCAACATATCATCAGATATTATCATATAGATGATCTAATAGATAACATTTTTTGTATGCTGATAGCATATTTAGATACTAAGACATGTATCACTACTAAATACTAATAAATATATGATTTCCACTCTCTTCAGTGATTGATACTCATTTGTTTTAAAACTCCTATAAGGTCCACAGTCTGGGTTGGTGCTGCATGTTGATGTCCGAACGACTGATCTGCATACATACCGCTGGCAAACATGTTAAGATGCTTGAGTGCAGCTAGGAATATCTGTGTTGCAATAGAATCCAACCAACACTAATTCTATATATATATATCTATATACATATGTAATGTTGATACATATCATTATATGTCTCTAAATCTATCTATCTCTATCTATTATCATCCTAAAGTGAATATACTATGAAAAACATACTACAATTTTATAATATTGTTTACTTTCAACATTAAATTTATCTACTTATCTACTTGAGGATTACTATATCTGGCTGAATTATAATCATTCACCAACCTGAAAGTAGCTGAAATAAGTGGGGATTATGTCCCTTACTAATCATCATTCCGTTGCGGGGACGTCACATTCAGGTCATTGCATAGGACTAAATCCCGTTGTATCCCCATATTGTTGGTGATATTCCCGATCCCCAATCACATCCCATTTTAATATATTTACATGCCATCAAACACCATTTTTGGTATATTTTGTTTAGTTACATCATTATATCACCATTGAAATGCCATTCAATAAACATCATTTTTGGTTGGTTAAAGTCACCATCTTTCCACAGAAAATGACCCAAACAGATGACCCCACCTCGCGCGTTTGCGGATCCTCACCAAGGCCCAACATGGCCTAGACAGGGCGGGCACCAGCAACAGTGGAATCGATATTGGGAAAATGATTGGAATGAAAAAGTATGGAAAAAACTATGGAAAACTAGGGAAAACTATGAAGAAAACGAATTATAATGTTGGGAAAACGCCAGAAAATGACTGGACCACTATGGAAAACTCATCGACTTAAATGATTCTCCCAAGGTTTTCCCAAGAATTTCTGGGGATTACCCCATCCCACCCCACCCCGCCCCATGCAAGTGGTTAGAGAAGTTAGTAACGTAATTGGAAGTGGTTCATAGAAAACAATAAGTTAGCAACGTAGTTGCATGTTCTAAAAAGCGTGAGTTTTACGAGCATGGTTTTCTGTCCGCTGGCAAAAACATGAGGTAACCAAATACCTGAAATACATCTGTATAATATGTATATATACATATATGCATACAGCAATATACAGCATACATATCCCTGCCTGATCAATGATTGTGACCAATCAAAAATGCAAGGTTAAATTGAGTTTTACCGGTTTTACCTGTTTGAAAATATTGTTATTATATGGCTATGGCCTGTACAAAGAACGGGAGTATACCCGTATAAATGGGTATTTCACCAACAAATGAGGGTGTAACTGTAACCCTCCAATTTTGATGATCAATAACATATACAGTTGTGTAAGGAGGGACAGGTTGTGAATGGGTAAACCGGAAAAAAATGGGGGGTTGCGCATGCATAGCAAATATAAACCGGACTCTAATTACCCTCTGGTAAACGTTTACATAAGTGTGGGAAATTACGATGTTTAATAGGTAAATCAACTATAAATGGGCCATTTTCAGTAGCTGTGTAAACGTTTACCAGAGGGTATCTGATATAATCCCTTCCCCCTATTACTAATTCCCCCCCAAAAAAATAAAAACTAGGGTCCATCTCCAATTTTGGAAAAATTCAGATTGGCCAATTTGACTTTCAATTTATCCCCTTTAGAACACAATTTAAAAGAAAAACTACCATTTGTGGGTTTCGCCCCCTAATAATAAAAACTAGTCAAACCCGGGTGTTTATTATTAGGGTCCTTCCGATTTTTTAGTTTTTTTATATTAGGGCTTTTAATTTATTATATGGGCCCCCTTCGAAAACCAATGTTTGGCAATATTTTAATTGCGTTATAAAGGAAAATTTAATTGATGTTGAAATCGGAAAAGTTGTTTTTTATTGTTAAGGTTTTAAACTTATTATCCCTAATAATTAATCAATACCCCCCAATAATAAAAACTACCTGCAGTGTTTATTATTTGGGGAGGGTGGGGTTAGTTTGTTTGGGGGAAGGGATCAATCAACACATTGGTGAACATGGGGATCTGACCTGTGGGAAACTTGGAGTTGTTAGTTCAATCGAGGGTCGAGGTTTCTGGAAATCAGCAATGATAAGCACCACTTAAAATCGTAGCAAACTGACAAGCGATTGATCATTTTACATCATTTTACCATGTCTAGGAATGCAGGATTCACAAGTTGAAAGGGTGCTTGCGCAACCTGCAAGGATTGGGACCCCAACGGCGAAATCGAAGAACGTTGCCATCCCATGAAATGGTTGTTCTTGACCCGAACAAACATGAACTCATGCCACCACCAAATGTGCTCAATAGTGTTTAATAATTATCAACAAACGGTTAAACGGATAGTCTTAGACAAAAACAACATGGTTTAGACAAACAATGGATGACTTGATATGGATTTGTCAGAAAATAGGGTTCTTCATAGGGCATATACGGCTACATCCACTGGTTACTCATAATCCTGGGAAGGATACATGATTCTCAGCCACACCCTACCCAAAAATTGCTGATTTCAATGCAAAGAAATACCAAACATCTCTGTCGGTATCGAAATCGCCTCCGCATACATCAACTGATGGAGCGACAGCAAGCGTCGTCGGTGCTCCTGGATCCTAAGGTAAAATTCTTCACAGCTGGGGCTTGGCAAATTGGGGTTGATTGGGTTGATTGGAATTCCTACCGCTTGAATTTGGATCCCCTAGGTGACGCTCATTGGAGGGTACTTAACAATACTTGTGTGCGCCTTCCCCTTCTCTTTTCTCCACTGATCGCCAAGATTAGGCTTTGCAAAGAGACCAGAAAGTCTCGCCTGAAAAATGATCCTGCCTTGGGCAGGGATTCATTCAGTTAATTGACGGCGATCTCATGGTAGAGATCTTGACACTGTTATTGCAATTCATCTCATGGTAGAGAAAACTTCCAGTGTCATGGTTTTGCTTCAAAATCCATGGTAGGAAAATGAAAAATGTCTCACAAACGTCTGTTTCCACGCTCCCCAACTTGTGTCCATGCAAAAGGAGACACTCATTTTGTGTAAGAATCAAAATTATAAGCGGCCATAAATGACTGTGTATGTGCAGAAAGTTTGATAGAAGGTAGGAAACTCAAGGCGTCACTGATGTAAAGACGGGCTACTCGGGATGATTCCCAGCGCCCACGTACCAATGTAGCTTCCATCGATCGAGTCCTTTGAAAATAATCTGTTGCGCCCCCACGTCTGAGGCTATAAGGACGAAATTCATGGTGATCAATCTTCATAATATTGCATAATTCCTTGAACCTTTGGCGAATTGGGCAGGAGAGCGAGACCAAATAGGAAGTGCAGACAGGTTATTAGCTCTGCGGACATCAATCAAGATACGAATCATTTCCAGAACCAGAGCATTGGTAATACTGACTGCCTCATTGGCATTGAAACGGACACCGCTTTTGGTATTGTACAAAGAAAGGACTCCAGATTTACGACCCAAATGAAAATCTTCGGCTTTGACGGCTAACAGTTCACCAGTACGTAACAAACAATGAAATGAAAGCAGCAAAATAACTGCCATCTCGAAATGATCATGCTGCCATTCAAATGCAGCCATAGATACCACCAGGGCCCATGTCAGAGGTGGTGCCCTTGATGGGATCTCGATTTTGCGCCAAACACTGAACAATTTCCACGCATGTGGTACCTTGCGCCTTGTGGACGGCTGAAAGAATGCCAAAGCTGACAGTCCATCTCCAATGGTAAGAAGAGGTTCACCTGTACGCCACATACGACGTATCCAGGAACATAGGCAAATATCCAAATGATCATCCGATGTTGCTTTTTCCACATATGGGAGGACCTTACGTAAGGCGTGGTAATACCTCACCTGGGTTTTGTCAGAAAGTGCTGCATCGTCAAGGTGTATTTTGGCACGTTGCCGGATCCTCTCTGCCCTGGAAAACCTTCCAGCGAGTAGACGCGGTGCCCTAATTTCGCGAACCATCGTCCGCTGGGTTCTCCGCTGAGTCAATATGCCCCATTATAAGATGAAGTCCAAACGCAAGTAAATGGGCTGAAATGACATTAAGTACCCTGGTAAGTTGTTGACTGCTGGTCCTTCCCTTTGAAGCAACACTAAGACAAATGTATGAGTCCGTCAATTGAAAAATTCGTTGGTCAACAGCATGGAGGCGACTAATTTGAAACTTGATACCCAGTAAAATGGTTTCCAATTCAAGCACATTAATATGCGATTTCTTCTTCCATCTAGTAGAGAATGCATGCTTCCATTGCCACCAGGTGCTTGAAACTGACTGCCGAGGAAATGCCCTGTTGTTCATGATCTCCCCTGACAACACCCGGACGTCTGATCCCGTGTGGTTTGCTTTTCGTAGCAGGAACCGATTCAAAAGCTCAACACCAATTTGAAAATCGTTAGCAGCCAAACCTGAAGAGCCATATTTGAGGGATCGACTTAAAGGACATGAAGAACGAAATGCAGCTACAAACCCCGGAGCAATACCCATTCGCTGAGCAAGGTGTTGATAGCTCAAGACAGGCAGGAATGCCCTGCAACAAGTTGCCGCCAGGATCACAAATGAATAAATTGAAAAAGAATCCCCCAAAAGTTTGTGCCGGGCATCCGAAAATCCAGTAGGGTTTTGTTTACTTCGTGAGGCGCTCCATGCCAGGATTGTGTGATTGAAACCATAACCCAACAGCAACTCTTTTTCAGTGGCATTAAGCAATCGCCATGTGGTTGAAGAAGTAATAATGTATTGTCTTTGGTATTGATATGGGGGGTACCGAAAATGATCTTGAGCCCAACGATCTCTTGTGGCTGAGTCGCACTTTTCCAATCCTGCGGGACGAATAGGTGGGCTTGTACGTGGGATTGATTTCATGCACGTGGGAAAAATACAACCATCTTGTTCACCATCCCAAGCATATCCAGGGGTTATCCATTGCTCTGTCCTAGGATAAGCAGCAGCAGCTGTGACATCCCACCAGTACCTTCGCTGTGTGATGCGGACATCAGAAAAGACTCCAGTCAGGTCCTCACTCGTCCAGGCATAGCGAGGCCTATGCATAGGTACTGCGTCAGCGCAATCCAATTTGTACGGTTCAACACCCAGTTCATGAGAGATTTGCTGTGCTGCATGCTGGTCCATGGACGCCACGTTTTCCAAAACATATTTAATGACGGCTGTTGCACCAAACTCTTTCTCTAAAAGGTCTTTGATCCTAGGAATTTCCCAGAACAAAGAGCTCTGGGGGCCGTCTAAGTTCTGACGTCCATAGCGCACTGCGCTCAAGTCAACACAGGGCCAGCCTCCCCATAAGTGCACTTCCGTGACATTCAAATACTTCAGGCTCCAAGAGTGAACCATGGCTGCGTCAATAGTTTTAACATCTTTAACTAGCAGGGTGCCAGGCCATCTCCTCTGGGTCACTCTGTTACCAGCGTCATCAATGTCCACCGCAATACGACCTGCTGGGGTGACCCCAATAATGTCGTAACACCGAAAACAACCACCGATGCCATTAAAGAGACTAATAACCAAGATGGGACAATGCAAAGTTGCTCTGCTAGATTCCAGGGCCGTTGAAGCTTGTAGAAAGTCTGACCCCTCTGCTTCCAAGCTGTTGGCATATTCCACTGAACCTCCTCGCTCAGATGCGTCGGTGCATACAATAGAGGGACTCACACCAGCGCCCAGGAAACAGTGATGAAGAAAGGCGGTATACACCAACCCTAGAAACTCTCTCTTGACTTCCTGTCGCAGCTGCTGTGAAGCTGGCCCATGTCCATTTACAAAGCGCCACGTATTTTGTAAGAAACTCATTGAAGGACGTCTGAATTGCAAAGCAAATATCCAGCGCCCAGCCACGATTTGCACTAGCTTCCTGCCCAGACGCGGCTGTGAAATCATCCACAAGGTAGATTGGATCAGCTTGACAAGCTTCTCAGTCGACAGACCCAATGCGGCCAAATCGCCATTGATTTCAGCTCCCAACTCTGTTGCCAAGCTACTTCCTGTCACCCTTTTCTTCAAAGAAGAAACAACCCCCGCTTCCATCCAAGCGGCTTCCGCAGCTGCATGACAAATAGACGCGCCTTCTGCAGTCTCACCAGGTGTGATGCGTTCTGCCCCGGCATAATTGTCCAGGTAAATATGCCACCAGCTCTTGTTCTCCGCTGAGGCCGTATCCAAAATCTCACTCATCCAGGGTGGCAGGATCCTGCCTCTTGAAATCTGATTTCTTTGTGGAAGTTTCGAAGCATTAAGAAGGTTTTCTGAAATCTCCTGCATAATACTCACTGAGTTAAGCCATCCCATGGGGATCACGCAACAACACAAAGCGTATGTTGTGCCAGGTACTCCATTAACTTCAGAGCCATCTGCCAGAATGTTAAAGGCCAAATGTTGACGCCAACAGGGGGGAAGTCTAAATAAATAGAAAGCGCTGGACATATCAGATTGATGCACAACAATTTGCTCACCCTCATCAACCACAATGCTTTGCCAAGAAGTGATAGCAGGTAGGGATGAAGAACCACCCTCCAATTGATGTTGAGTAGAATTGGACCCTGTTAGGTTCATTATAAATCTGAGAATGGGGCGCCCATCGTCCAGCGACGTAGGTTTAGAGACACCAAATAAACCATTAAGAATGGGGACACCATCTACCTTGTGAACCTTGTCCAGCGGAATCCAATCGCAAACCTGTCGTCGGACCAGCTCAAAAGCAATTCTGAGCTTGTCTTTGGGGTCCATGTGAATTTTTCCGGGCATTCGAGGAAGGACAACTTTTTCGGGATCTTTAAGCAGCAGTTCCGGGTTAAGAAGAAAATGACGTGTTCTAGAGCCAACCCAAAGCAAAGCATCAACACAACCCCCATGTTCAGCAGGGGGAAGTCCCGGAAGAATCTGATCCCACGTTAACTTATGACAAATGGACACCTCTTCACCCCCATAGCCAATGCGGCGACTCTCCAGTTCTTTTCGCCAGAGCTCCTCCGAGGTTGGGACAGCCAAATCTTGGTCAGATCGGCGCTTTGCCGCTCTCTCTAAGGAATCTACGGCTGTGCGCTCGAGCTTCGACCAGCGCCCGGGTGACGGCACTCCGCCCAATCCAGCCAAACGATTGAGCGAGCAGATAGCCAGATAGACCCAAGCCTTATCTGACCACTCCACTAAGGTGGGCTCACGGACCAAATCGGTCAGAGCCAACTGCCTGAAAGCCTGAACCAAATGCTTCAGCTCTCCCTCCCTAATGGGGAAAACCGCGCCCTTGTGTGAAGCACGGGCCGGTTTGTTCTTGGCGATCTTCGTTTTCCACAAGCTTGTGAATTCCATGGCGGCTGCCTCTGAGACTAGGTGGGCCGCATCTGTAATTAGCAACCACGCCAGTACACAACCAATGCGTCTGTATGATGTGCACAGCGCGATTACATCTTTCAAAGCGACCACAGGTGGGCTTCCAAAAAGACCTGTCTCACAGCTAGTGCCGCCAACGGCCGAAGCCGGCGCAGAAGAAGGCAAGGTGTCCTCAACTACTTCTCGGGCACCCTCTCCTTGGTTCTTGCATCGCTTTCTTTCTCTTGCGCAGGGCCCCAATTCTTGCCCTTTCCTCTTCCTTTGGGACCCTTCTTGCCTTTGCCTTTTGAGTCGAAGGATGGCTCCGACCAACTTCCTCGACCTTTCCCTGCACGACCTCGACCAGCGCCGCCCCAATTCCAGGAGGTTCCCGGTGCTACCTTGGCCGCCAGCTTCGCATGCCGCTGCGCCTGTAACACTACCTCCGGGCTGGCTGCCGAGCCTTCCTCTAGAGGGAGGAGCTCCAGGTGCCTTGCCGTGCTCCATCCTCCATCCAGCACGCTTTGGTGCAGGGAGATGAATCTTCCTGCCAAGACATCTCCGAGCAAATCTAAATCTCCTTGGCGGAGTAAGTCGATGCATTGAGAGATGTGGTGAAGCTCCCTGATCTGGGCCATGGAGTTCCCCAGCGTCGGCTTGACCACGATGGCATAGTATGAGCTCATCTTCACTCCTGTTGAAATGTCCAGGTCCCCCTCGGTCGAGATACCCACCTTGGAGGATTGGTCTAGCTGAGCTCTTGCATGCTCCAGCAACATGGTCAGAACGCTGCCAGGTCTCTTCTTGGACCGGCGCCTCAATGGAGCGATCATCTTCTTGTCGTCGCTGCTGGATGAGGAGCTCTCCTTCTCGCCCTTCCGAGCGCGCAAACTCCTCGAAGAGCCTGAGCCATCCTGTGAGGAACTCGGGCTGCTTGAAGGATCTCCTCCTTGTCTCATCCTCTTGTCCTTCTTCTTCTTCTTCTCTTTCTTCTTGTCCTGATCTCGCTTCTGAGAAGACGATCTCCGGCGCTCCCCCTGGGGCTGCACGGCTCTGGTAAGGATCTTCACGAGCTGGAGACCAGGATCTTTCTTCTCCTGACGCTTCTTCTCCTGTTTCTCCTTCTCTTTCTTCCTCCTCGTATTCTCCGCTGCTGTGCGCAGAAGCTGACTCTGTAAGTCTCGCGTAGAAGTGCCTTTTGAATCCTCCAGCGCCCGTTGAACATTGAGGTCCCCAGCGTGGGGAGCGTCCTCTAGGGCTCTGACCCTCTTCCTCTTCTTCGGAGCTTTCTCCTTCCTCCTCTTGTCTCGTCCTGCAGCGCCTGGTGACAAATCCCGGCGCTTGGGTCCGACCAGCTCCTCGCGCTTGATGGACGGGGAATTTATAGGCGGAGAGGCTGAATAGCCTGACTCTGAAGATGACCCCCGCACTTCCAATAGATCTGAGGTGCGCCCGGCCGCTGTGCCAGCGCCCCCTTCCACACCACCACGCATCATCCTGTCTCGGGCGCTGGCCAGACGCTCTCTGAGCTTGGCGCGCTCCTCCTCTGTAACTCGGCCAACATCCCTGGTAGGAGCACGAAGGGCGCCAGGCCTGGGACCTCGGGGTCGCCCAGCCGGAGCGTCGGGACCTTCCTCCCGGTGTGGCGCCCCCCCAGCCAGCGGCATATCTCCAGGTGGTGGCGGAGGAAATTCCTCGCGTGCTGTGGCGGCCCCCGGCAAGGGTGGCATTGTTCCTTCTCCTCGGGGTGTGTCGGTCATCTCTCCTTCGTCCCCACTGTCTTCTGCCCACTTCTTCATCTGTGTCTTGATGTACGGTGACATGTAAGGTCTGTAAAAACCCTCGGCCGAGAACACCTTCAGTCTCCTCACGTGAAGCACATAGCCCTCGACCTCGCAGCTTGGATTTGAGCAAACGTGAAGGCGTCCTAACTTTCGATTCAAGGCATTTGAGAAGTAGCGGGTCCAGTCTGGGTTTGAGCATCCAATGCTTTTTGCCGGCACTGCATAAGAACCATCGGGTAAGACGGCCACACCTCGAACCCAAAATGCGGCCCAAAGGTCCTCGGAGGTCTCGTGATTGGTAGAAGGCAAGTGCACTTCTACAATGTCGCCTCTTCCCAAAACCAAAGCTTCCCATTGTTCTCTGGAGTCAATCTGAAACTCCAGCCCTTCTTCTGTACTCATGGTATCACCTTCCGCTAGGGCCACGATGGCCAGCGAAGGGTTTGTCTTCTTGCCAGAAAGACCGCGGAGGCCTACGATGAACACGAATCTCAGGATCTTCAAGTTGACGGTGAAGACGCTGACGTTTGGCTCCTGCACGGTTGCCTCTTCGATGGCCTCCCCTGTTATCTCTATGCTGATGACCGTCTCGATCGTGTGAATGATGATGCCTGTGGTGATGTCCGTCCCTGGCTTGATCCTCACTACGTCGAGGAGGTGGATGCTCGGGCTCAGGTGGTCGAGCTGGAGGTCCACTCTTTGGGGTGGCTGCCACGGCTCTAGGAGACCAGCGCTCACCTTCTTCTTCCTCTTCTTCCACAGACTCTTCCTCACTGCTTTCCTCTTGATCCTTAACCTCACGGCGACGTTCTCGGCTTCGTTCCCGATCACCTGGTGGGTCAGCGGCGCGAGGAGTGCGAGGAGGCCGTGGTGGTTCAGGTGGTGGAGGCAGGCGATTGGGATCTCTGCGGGGGAGAGCTGCCCGGGCACTGCCAGCGCTCTCGATGCAGCCAGCGACTTCGCGCAGCGCAGTTACCCCTCGCACCGCTGAAACGACAAGGTCGTTGGCGATGTTGCGCAGCGCAGGCGTGCGCCAGCTAGCTGCCAATTCAGTTCCCAAAGCCTGCACCCCTGAACACCCTATACACCACGTGTCCGAACCGTATGGGGGACACTGTCTACACTTATTACAAATCATAAACCTGAGAGCTTGAACCTAGAAACATGACAAACGGCGATTCATCTCCAAAAACATGCGGGGGGCTTACACAAACAGTTCGAAGAACCAACTTGTCAATGATGGCACTAAAACACATCATAGTAATATAGGATAACATATAGGGTTCATCACATCAAACAATCAAACCATATCCCTTGAGGGTACCACCCCAGTCTCACCAGATGGTCAAAATCGACACGTTTTGACACGCAGTAACACCCCAGAAGCTCCAATGACACGTTTATATGTACCCCTAAGTACCCACCAATAGGCATCACCTTAGGGGGTCACCGACACCAGAATGACACGCAATGACACGCAACAACTGCCTACATGTTCCATTTGTGTAGACGGTGCTGTACAATTCAGATTCAGGGTCTGGTGGTTTCTAAGATTGGGATGTGTGTGTTCCCAATCTCAGTATACCCTGGCAGGGAAACGGATGACATCCTGGGGATTTCATCATCCAGGCCACCAATGAGCAAAAGAAATTCAGTGACGCTGATTGGTGACCCATTCTAACAGACCACTAATGGTGGGTACTTAGAGGGTGCTGGTGTGTATGTATATATATATATATGTGTGTGTGTGTTAAAATGTATGGCAAAATATGGGGATTCCAGCCACTGAACATGATATATTTTATGCTGGTGTTTTATCGCGGTTCCGAAGAGATCCCCATGGCGTTCCCCGCCCCCGCAAAGGAAAAGCTATGCAGCGTCAAGAGGCATCTGAAATGCTTGGTGGATATCTTCTGGAAGAACATCGTCACAGGCCTGCACAAGTCAGCTCCAAATCCATGGATTCAATATATCTGGCCACTAAAAAAATAACAACGTCGCCATGATCAGCCATGTATCATAGTTCTGAAAATAGGGAATATCCCAAAAAAATGCTATTTTATGATAGGGAAAAGGACGATAAACTATGGGATTCGACCGTTTCTTGTTTTCCACCTGCTGGCGACGATTTATTTGCAGAACCGGCGACTACCCTGTGGAACCACCCCTCCAACCCTGCCGTAACACGGCACCTTGCCATGCCAAATCTGCGCCCTCTCGAGCAGCTCCAAACTCAGCTGCTGTACATCTGGCGGTGGATGAATCAGGCATCCGTAAGTAAGGGCAATCTCGGTGGTATCGCTATCGCCCATCGTTTATCCCCTGTGGCTCGCTGGGATTTATGGTTCAAATATGTTCAAATCGTCAGGTGGTTCACAGCTGGGATTTATGGATGTTCAAATCTTCAGAATTCTTCAGATCTTCATCCTCCCAATCATGACAAAAATATTTGCTATTGATCCTAAAAGCCATATTAGAGCATTCTTTAAAATCCCATATGTGTCATTCCATGAAATACTGGCTAGTAGCGGGATTCCCCGTTCTTGGATTATGAATCATAAATATTCATAATCCCCAAACTGTAAATATATATATATATATACAATGTGAGGCCCCCCAGTTATAAGTTGGTTTATAAGCCCCAGTAACTATAGTTATAAGTACCATAAACCATAGTTAGTTATTGGAGTTATAACATGTTATAAACCAACTTAGCTATCTTGGGGGCCTCACATTGTATATATATATTAATTAATTAATTAATTATCTAGTATAATCCCCCAAACAATCATCAACCAACAGGCGTCGATCGCACTGCCCATATCCTGACCGATGTTTCACCATACACCACGGACACCACGGACACCACGGCCTTGGTCGGGCAGAGCTGCTTGCAGAGAGCTGTACTGCTGCCAAGACATACCTGGATCATTGCAGTTCCACGGTCGAATTCCAGGACATGTCGTAGAAGAAAACCATGGAAACATGGGGAAGATATGGGACAAACTATAACAAAACAATGGACATGTCATGGGACATGTGGGGAAATTCTGTCGTTTCCGGAAAGCCATGGAACGCCCCATGTTCCGTTGCACCACTCCTTCGATGGGCTAGGCTTGAAGTCTGAGGAAGTGAGACAAGTGAGAGCATGGCAGCATGTGATGACACATTTCCCAATATTTCCCAATTCCAGTTGCTTCATACTCAAAAAAAACATTGGGTGCCTCGGGCTTCCCACAGACAGTTTACAAAGAGTCTGCGTGTCCCATGTCGCAATGTCGCAATGAAAGCCGCAGGAAGAATCTGACTGTCCTTTTTCGATAGATTCATCTTCTCTGGGTGAGAAGAAACTACATCAATCTCAAAACAGTGCTGAAATCCAAACAATATTGATGGAAGCTTGCAATCTGTTAAGTCCAATGATAAGCCAAGTATGACTCACAATAATAATCCCGGGAAGGATGGAAAGTACAACATAATGTGGCAACACATGGCAACACCAATCATAAACCATCCAGAAAATCACCATCAATGGGGTACTATCAACCATCCCCAAATAATTTGCAGGGCGTCCCACAGCTGCATGTGTCTCCCGCCTTTGGTCTTGGCGGCTTCCTCAGCCTCCACCGTCAAGCCGAAATTTCATGTCCAGTAATAAAAAGTAAAACAGTTTGCTATTGAAAATGGCCATAGAAATAGTGGATTTACCCATTAAACTTGGTGATTTTCCATAGTTACGTAACAGTTTACCAGAGGGTAATATCAAACCATCTGGCTACACATCAACTTCTGGATCGTATATGTATGGCGGGTCACTTCTTCACTTATAGATACTTCATGATACTTCCAAAAAGTGCATCCTCTGCATGTGTAAATTGAGCTAGCAACAGGAAATCCCATTTGGGCCCATTTCCCCAGGTTGAATATGGATGAATATGGTCCAATTGCCTAGGAGGATCATCATGGGGGGAACCCAATCTCCGATGTTGTCGAAATTCCCTCCCCGATGGTATCGGCTAATATTTCTCTGTGAGACTTTGCTTGATGAAATTCTGTTCTTTTGTTGGTCCTTCCCATTCGGTTGAAACTATCCCAATTTTGGCCCATGCCACATGCAACTTGAATCTCATTTGTGGGTGAACTAACTGTCCCCGTCCCGATTGTTGAATGTCGCTGAAAACGATCATTTAAACGCGTTCAAGAATAATAATTATAATACTTACCATAATAATACTGTAGTAGTATATTATATTAGTAACTACATATTGTGAGTAGTATATTATAGTAGAATATCATTGTAAGTAGTATAATACTTCAAAAATAATAAGAATATATCTAAGTAGCAGTGTGTCGTAACTTCGTTTGGTCAAACAACGGCCTCATCACGTTCACCACGCCGTAGCCGGGCATATCTCTGACTCGCGGACCACAGGAGCCTGCCGTTGGTGCAGTATATGGAATGAACACCTCAGTTGACTTATAAAGATGTGGGCAAAAGTACCAATATTATTTGATATTGAATATTGAATATTGACATAGAAATTTAGAGGCAAATTCAGGGGTCTATGGGACACTCCTGGAATTCGTGTCTGCATGCAATATAGAAATGTGATTCAATCAACAATTAGGTAGAATCATGAATAACCAGCTGCAAATGTCAACGAGCGGGCTGAAATTAGGGTGTATAGTAACCAACAGAAGTGATACCAGCATCTGTAGAAATGTTGTCCAACAGGAGTCTACTAGAAATTTTCATGAACTGTAGTATCAGCTGGAGCCGGATACTGCAGCGCAAGGGCTGGGCCAAGCCCTGTAAAAAATATGTAAAAATCATGGATTAAGGAGCCGAAAGCTGCCAAAAAACACGAGCAACTCATGTGTTGTTTCGAGGTTTCGATCCAACATTCGTCCAACGGATAATCTAACGTATCTAATATATGATATGTGACATATATATATATATGTATAGAATTGTTATTTACTATATGTTATATCATATCTATATATAATATATGTATATATATATATGTTATAGTCCACCATTTCGTGAAAACATCCACCAAACCACATGTTTTCCATTTCTCTTGAAGAGTTTCCAGCCGTTTCACTAACCGTTTCACCATCGCAGCCTGTAAGACAAGCCCCAAATGACGGAGTCCAGGTTCAACGTGATGTGCCATGAGGGCCCTCTGAGGCCATACGTTGAGGTACGGTGACCAAAACCCAAAGGCACCTCAGCAGAAGTCACCAGGAGGTATGAACATATTAAATTTCACGAGCTCCTGGGATTTTGTGATTTTTAGGGAATATTGGATATCAAGGTCAAGATGCAATATTTGGTGCAGTGTACGTGAAATTTGATATATGAAAAATCAAAACAAATGGAGGATTGAGCCGTATTAAAACCAAGAATTTGATGGGGACGTAATGCGAATCAATGGGATATACTCAGATAATCTTGGATAGCCATCCTACCCATCAATAGTATGATGGGGGTGGACCTGAAAATGCTTAGTATGGGGAAAATGACACGATCAACCCTTAGATGGTGGGCTTGATCTATGTTCAAACAAACCCAGTTGGAGTTGTGGATATCTCCCGGAAATACTTTGAAATTTATTGGGTTTGTTTTCGATCACAAAGAGACTTGACATCTACAGTTCTTGAACAGTACATGCAAAATGATCACAATGTACAAGATAAGTAAGTTAGAAAAATGAGTAAGTATACTGCTACGTACTCAGCATTCCACTTTTGCTGTATCCAAGTTGGACCCATAGCCAAATTGTGCTGAATGGTGTTGAAACTACTTGAGCCATGTCCTAACATTGTGATCATCGCAGCAACAGTGCATGGTAGTACGTGCTTGCTTTATATGTACTTGAAGCCGCTCGATGCACAACCGCTTTTTAGCAAGGAAGAGCATTCCTGATTGTGAAAACATATAACTTGTGTAGTTTATTCCCCTCACATGCCTGCCTTTGGTCACACGGAAACTTAAAAGTAGCACGGCTAGTGCCACCGCCAACCCCATATTTGTCCTCTGGAATTTCGAGCATGGAATGCTAGATTCGAAGGATCACCATGCATTGCTTAAAAAATCACCAAGGATTCATCACTTGGAACGAGCCATGGATCCAGTCAATATTTCAGTGTCCTGATCCCATGATCAACTTCAACTGTCGCATGAAACATCATGACACATCTACTGCTTGGTGGTTGACCTACCCCTCTCAAAAATGATGGAGTTCGTCAGTTGGGATGATGGAATTCCCAATAAATGGAAAAATCCATTAAAATCCATTAAAATCCATTAAACCACTATATAATCCATTATTCCCAACTGAATGGAAAGTCATTCAAAATTCCATGGTTCCTTAAACCACCAAGAGTTCGTATCATCGTTCTGTTGTCCCATCTGGGTGATCAATCCCGATGAGTCCAACGGGACGACTGAAGGGGTCCTGACAAGTTGCTTACCCTCTGGTGAACGTTTACATAGCAATGGAAAATCACCATGCTATGAAAATGGGAAAATCCACTTTCGACTGGGCCATTTTCCATTGCAAACTGTTAGTTCACCAGAGGGTACATCAAATAAAAAAAACCCACAAAAAAATACTTCCAATAAACATATCCCACAAAACAATCCACCATGATTATCATGATTCATGGCTAATATCCCACACGTTGCCCTATGACCATGGCACGTATAACATGTAACCCGGCTCCAAGACCACATCCAGCAAGGGATCACCCAAATGCTCGATCACCTCGAGCCAGGTGCTAGCTTAGCCCCAAATTCATTGGATTACAATCATGTTCCCTATGTTCCCTATTCATTCATATAGTCATTTTTTTTAATGGATATAAATGGATATAAATATGGGTTATATCATGTTATATCCCATTTTCAGACCCAAATCCAGAAGCTTACGCGCCAAAAAAAAAACTTTTTGAAATGCCGCCATTGTTCCGAGCTTTGGAACTCCCAATAATCCTGCCAAGTTCCATGGTAATGATTTTTCATCATCAGATGATTCCAATGGGAAACCCATGGGAAACCGATGGCTATTGATGATTCCAACGAACAGAATCATCAGAATCATCATATCTACTGGTGGTTTGAAGCCCGAAAAATGATGGACTTCGTCAGTTGGGATGATGAATTTCCGAATATATTATGAAAAATAACATTCATGTTCCAAACCACCAACCAGTATATATTATAATATATAAATAATATAATATATAATATAATATATATATATAATATAACATATTTATATATATATATATATACAATATAATATATATATATATACAGTATATATATAATATAATATATATATATATTGTATCTTTTTATTGTTTCCCCGATTCCAATGGGATACCCAATGTTCAGGTCCACACTACCACTTTGAACCGCCCCATTGACGGTAAAAACAAAAACAGGCATAGTGATAGAACCGACTTTCTGGTGAAAGCCCAATTTCAAACCATTGGATCCAACCCTCGGATCCACCAGGGATACAAACTCTGTGTTGCTGCCAAGTCGCTGGTTTTTTTGAGCTTGGGTACCAAACATTAGCCCCTGGTGAATCATCATTTCCCTTTTTTTTAAACACACATTTTACGTGGTAGCATCACTCATTTTCAGCCATTTCCAGACATAGTCAAATGAGGTTTATTCATTGTGAAATCCCAATGGTTGATGGTCAAATCACCATTTGTTCACCGTTGTCGATTGTGAAAAAATGCTATTTTTCATAATCCCAATCCCAATATATATATATACATATATATATATCCAAATCACTGGCTAAACATCCACTAATCACCATTCATCACCATTCATCACCATTCATCACCATTCATCCCCATTCATCACCGTTCTTCCCAAATACCCTCTGGTAAACGTTTACATAGCTATTGAAAATGGTGATTTATAGTGGATTTACCCATTAATAGCATGGTGATTTTCCATAGTTATGTAAACGTTTACCAGGCCGGGTATATCCCAAGAAATCCCCAGGTCCAGCTGCGTCAAGTCACATCTCCATCCTTTCCTCGTCGCAAGGGATCAACATCTCCGATGTCAGGTGGATGAAAAACCTGCCACCTGCGATGGAAAAAGTTGTCTCCGGAAATTGCTTGGTCTGCTGACTGGTGCTTAGTAGGGAATGGATGGGAATGGACCGGAATGGATGGGAATGGATGGGAATGAGATTATTGATAGCTATTGTGGATCATTCCCTCACTCCCTACTAAGCGCAAGTCTGAACATCTGGTCTAAAGCTTCAGTTTCCCCATGGAAATAGCAATAGCTAATGAAGTTACTTGACATTGAAACTCAATCTGCTGCTTTATCATAATGTCCACTCTCTCTCTCTATATATATACATATTGAACATATTGAAATTACCATTTATTGGAGTTACTTGATTTTCGGACACAGCCACATTCATGTCAAGCTGCGCTTCAAACATATGGAACAATGATGAACAATGGCAATGACTCTAAGAGTTTGATGATATGTTTATATTGAAATAAAGAAACATGATGATACTGAATGCTTGTTACATTGTCACTTTATTTCTTAGACCCCAAAGGTGTATTTTTGGATCAAGCATTTGAAGCCATGACCATCAAAGCACTGCGACCCAGCCGGGGCCCTGTGAGCCTTCATCAGAGGATCATATCAAGATATGTCTATGACAAAGTTGCAGACAATCAATGAATTATACACACATCACACAATATCTTATCAATGTAGTCATACATGTATACATTATATACAGAATCAACAAAACACAAAATCGTCCATTACTATAATAGATTTACTAGTTTTATTCGTCGTTTGACAATATTTGAGGAACATTCTCATCAATAGAACGGAAGCATGGTTTGATGCCTGCGAAAGGATGTGAAAAAAGTCAACTTGGTCTCCGACAGCAGCCGTCAACTTGACTTGGCCAACTTTTCTGTCCCGTTGGTCTATTTGCCACACATCGGACCACATAGGGCACCGAGTCTTGACCCGACGTCCTGGCCTTTTTTGCCCCGTTGCTTGAAAGACCAGAACGTCTTGTCGATCCTTGTTGCCCAGCTCGGAGGATTCCATGAAGATGTGAGGCATCTTCAGCAGAATCTACTGGGATCTTCCCCAACAGATGGAGGTTTCCTAACATGGTACCCCCAAATCATCCTCTTTCCAAACCATCCAGCGTTTTTGGGGTACCCCATTGTAGGAAACCACCACATTTGAATCCACCACTTCCTGAGTCGCAGCAAAGCAGGTGCCAAGATGCTGTGTGACATGGCACAGATACCTGCAAGAGATGGCGTGGCAACGCGTGGTCTGGTTGGTGGTTTTAACCGTCTTGAGAAATATTAGTCAATGGGAAGGATTATCCCTTATATTATGGAAAATTAAAAATGTTTGAAACCACCAACCAGTGGTATAGTTGTTGGGTACCCAAAAAAAAATCGGTGGTGTTTTGAGAAACGCCGACAAGATGCAAAGATAGGTGAAATTGATCAGAATTTTCTACGATATTGTAAGCTGGTTGGTGGTTGACCTACCCCTCTGAAAAATATGAGTTCGTCAGTTGGTATGATGAAAATCCCAATATGATGGAAAAATAACACATGTTCCAAACCACCAGCCAGGTAAGGTATTGTAAGTAGGATTTTACTTTTTAACATGGGTGGTGCTATCTGAGGAAAAAAAAACAACTTCCCATGAGCCTAGCAACTCAGGTGCTGGAACCCCAGGATACCCCAGGCCTAGCCACACCTAACACCAACTGGGCTGGATTCAAACCCATCCAAGATGATTGATCATCATGTTGCCTGTCAAAACTGCTATTTCTGTTGCTGTACAGTACTCATGTTAAATATCTAAATAAATGCAATGTTGGACCCTTTTTGATATCTGTTGTTTATAATCTTCCTAAACTAAGTGCAGTTTCAAATTATGCAAACTTCTATAAAATTGTCACAATCACGTGATCATAGATGGTTAATAAACACGTCCCCCGTTGAAACAAAATACGACATGTCATGTTTGGATCTACTCTCTATAGTCATTTAACATAGCTATGGAAGCCATGGCCCACTTATAGGTGATAAACATGATCGTTTACCGATTAAACATGGTGATTTGCCAGTTCGCTAATTACGTGAAAAATCACCAGAGTGTAAACCCCATCATAATCTATATCTAATTTGCCACAACATTGTCATTTTGGATGTATCTGGGTAAATTATAATATTTCACTAACCTGAATTAAGGCCATTTGGGGATGATTTCCCTTATTAACCATGATTTCCAGTGAGGTCGCAGTGAGGTCGTTATAATTTACCCAGATGTATGATGTATTATCTAATTGGCCACAACAATAGTTGGTGATGATTTCATTGGGCTTACCACATTGATCATGTGTCACGGCGCCTCCAAAGCTGCCGGGCTCGCGTATACATTGGCAGCGCAGGGCCACTGGAAGGTCTTGAGGGCCGCGAGGCAGAACTCAGCGAGGCCCGGAAGGTAAAGACCTGGACAAGGTCAGCAGCGTTCAAGAACACATGGGAATTACCGGACAGGATACCATGGGAATATTATAGGGAATATAGGGTGGGAATATAATGGGAAAATCATGGGAATACAATATGGAATATAATGGGAATTAATAATAGGAATGTAATAGGAATGTAATAGAACATATAATGGGAATATGTTCTGGGGCACTGGGAATATATATATATATATAACGGGAACGGAATATAATAAGAATATAATAAGAATATAATAAGAATATAATGAGAATATAATGGGAATATAGTAGGGAATCTCATGTGGAATATAGTGGAAATATAATGATATAACGGGAATATATTAATGGGACTATATATATATATTTATCATATGGGAATATTACTTATTAGTGGTAATATTATATATATAGTGAAAACAGGGGACCGAACAAGGGAACCAACCACGGTATCCTTCGATAACCCCATTAAACAAACCAAGCACCCGACCTTTTTGGGCACTTGAGCCACGGACGTCAACCAGCGGTTAGTTATGACCCGAACCCGGTGGTTGTTGGATAAGGGACAACTAAAACCCTGGAATAAACCCTAGGCACTGAACATACCTAACGCTTCTAGGTATGTTATGATACTCAATGTACAGTATGTCGCGCAAGAGCGACATGCTAAGGAAAAACTATTTGGAGTTTGAATTGGAACTCATAGCTACGCTATTTACACTACGCTATACCTACCTGCTATGCTACATGTAGTGGGGGCTCAGGGGTCGATATATTTCAACTCCCCCCTCGCCTGATCCACGCTCTGCGCTTTTGGCAGGCACCTACGCATTAATATTGCGCAAGCGGGCGCTCGCAGCAATCTATGCGTTGGTTTATGGTTTAGCGATGCGTGTGTGACACATCCATTTCGGTCCATCATTGGTGATGGAGGTGGATATTGTGTCTTGAGAAGGTTTCTTAAGTTGGGCGGATGCCCTTGACCTAAGACCAACATTATGTTTTGGGCGCTGCCAAGGGAATGTATGTGAGCAGGAGGATGAGGTCCACACACGTGGTGGCGCGGTTTCAGCGGGTTCAGCTGTGTGATTGCCCAGCAGTCCGCACTGCGACTCATTACCTAACTCTGTGTTATCCCTACTAAGTTTATCACATGGAATGCCATTATGTTCACCTATCGACAACTTCTAGATGTCAGGGGAAGAGGCAAACTTGGATGTGGTTGGCTTAGCATTCGCACTAAGTGCGATCTTGGCAACTTTCCGATGTCTACGGTTAGCGCGACCAGTTGGTTGGTTAGACCCTGGAAGCGACTCCTGACAAGGGATTGAGGCTGATGAAACAACTTGGGATTGAATTATGGCACTTAAAACGCTGGCTATTGGGGGTGACGGGAAGCCAGGATTGGGAAGCTCTAACTCCGGGACATTTTATCACTATTCCCATGAAGTCGCGAATTTCAAGGAAGAGTGAAAAGGTATTGGGCTAGAGATTTCTTCACCTACCCTGATGCGAGCATGGAGCTCAGCATCCTCGTCACTTTTGACTCTTTATGTGCTTGCGTTAAGTGGTGCTTTCTTTCCCTTTTTGGTGTCGTTTCTTTTCTTCAACCGTATTACTATTTGTGAAGTGGGCGCAGCGTTGGTCGGCAGGATGCCGTGTATGGGTGTTGCAGGTAGCACACCCACTGGGATGAACCGGGGAGTTGCTAACTTTGCTATAGGTTAGGGTCTAGGTTATATCATTTATAACTATTGCTAAGTGCTTAGCTAACTAGTTAGCTAAGTAGTTAGCTGGGTACTTAGCTAAGTAGTTAGCTAAGTGGTTAGGTACTTCAAAAACCAAGGCTGATTGGTTAAAAACTTAGTTTTTTAATTTATGATTCATGTTTGTGGCTGGCTGTCACTGGCATGCTTGGCTGCTGCTTCCAATCCATTTAACAACAACCCATGCCAATCTTCAATGCTTGACCTCAACCTAGAAAAAGGTATTTGCTTTGGACAATTTGAAAATATTTCAAAGAGCTGGCAGCCTGAAACATCTATATAAATACACTGCAAGCTTCATGCAGCATATGCAAGCCCAGACATGTTTCCTTTAATGGAATAGATGCATGTTTTGAATGCATACCAATTTCTACACAGGGCATGCTTGAAGCTTGCAAATACATAAGCCAAATTGGCTTGACATAGTGCAGCCAGGCTTGTTTGTTTGAAACCTTCTTCCCAATTAGACAAAAGCCCTTGGGCTTGAAGATTTGACTACAAAACAAAAACCACTTGTGGTATATGGTGTCAACAGGACTGGCAGTGGCTGCAGCTTCACTCTTGCAAGACCCATGCATTTTCCTCTCTCAAGTTGAAGGTCTCAGCATTTATTTGTCCTGATACACCTCTGCTCAAGGGTTGCAGTGGTGCAAGAAAAGAAGGTGATGTATCACAAATTACGTGGCATTTTTCAAATGCTTCTTGTACAAAACATGAACCTTCTTGGTTCCCTTCAAAAGCTTGGCCTTGAATTTTGTCTTTTCCATCTTGCAAACTCTGAGGGCATACCTGGCATTACAGTAGAGGATGGCATCATGTCTTGTCCAGCTTCTTCTCCAATAGGATGAGACCCATACTCTTTCAAAGAGTGCCAAGGTAATTGGATCCTGCCATTGCTCCACATACACTGAAGGCATGTTGGGTATACAGAAGCAAGAAGGCTGCAGGTGATCCTCTGGGCCAAAAACTTGCATATAGTGGAAGTTGGAACATACCCTTATAGAGAGGAATTCATGCTTGTAACTCAGCACGAACATTTTGTCTTGTTGGTTGAAGCTTGCATAAGCCTTGTTGGCTTGAGACATGTATGTATAGTGGTTTGAAAGTTGCAAAGATGTTTGCCATGGGCATGCCAAGAACTTGTGTTGCATATGGTCTAAGGGCCTATGACCTTGCTTTGCCCATAAGCCCACAGGGCTTGAACATGAAGCCCACAGGGCTTGTGCATGAAGCATGGAGGCTTCAAAATGTCTAACTCAATGTGCAACTCATTGCCAGGCTGAATTAAATGCTTTAGAGCTTACCTACAGCTTTTTGGCCCAGTACAACCCAAGGCACTAGATGCAGCATCTTTCTTTTTCAGTGAAACAGCAGCCAGCATTTCAGAAACCTTTGCTGCCATTTACATTACCCCCATTGGAAAGGAATGATAACTTTGTACAAGTTGTTCTTGAAATTCATAAAAGAAGTAGTGGTGGCAATGGTGTGTGTTTCCACAAACATTGCATCATCTTTCTTCTTGCACAGAGCATGGCATCCACATTCATCAATTTCCAGAATATCCCACATGGACACCATAGACAAAATTGTGGAATCCAGCTTGACATGTAACCACACCTGGCAAAATTTCAAAGGTTTGCCTTTGAAGACACAAATATCACCTTTGCTGCAAATTCCTGCAGGTGACATATGTGCTTGTAAGCAGCTGAAAATTTCCACATCTTGTGTACAATTCAAGTGCTTTTGCAAAAAACAAAGCAATTTCTTGCTGGGCTTTCCCTCTTTCACTAGCCTAGCAGATTCACTAAATGCATCAGGGTCTTGCAGCTTCTCCATATCATGGCAAAGAATTTCAGATGTGACAGACTTCTCAAAGGTTTTCAGGTTCTGGATGGAGGATGCATATCCTCAGTATCTAAATCTTGAGGGTTGCACAGGGCTCATCAGCATGCAAGAAGCAACACCAAAAAAGAAATGTGGGAATGCAAAGCCATCAAAACAATTACCAAGTGTCTCTTGATGGTTTTATGTTTGCGTTCTTGAACAAAGCAAGATGGCAACATCTTGTGCTTGGACAGGTGATGTCCAAAATGTAAGCTCCAGTGAAACTTGGTATACATGTATGGCTTCCAACCAGCTGTGATGCATAGGTTAATGAAGTTTTGCAAAGATCTCTCAAGCACATGGTGTGTGATAATGCCCAAAGGCACCAATTGGATCAGGTCCAAAATGTCCACCAATGCAACGTAGGCAAAGCATTCATCTTTGCACAAACCTTTTGGCACTATAATGGTTTGCAGGAAGTATGCAAAAATTGGTGCAAGTCCCAAAGCTTCACTGGCAGTGCATTTGAAGGTGCCTGCCAGTTTGTTGGCTTTCTTCCTTTTTGGTTCAAACAATTTCCCCAAATTGTCATGCCTGACTGCAGGCAGGTTCCAAGCACCAACAACTTGACTGGCCACATCATAGACATTTCCAGAAAAATTTGCTTCCAAAGCTGTCATAATCAAATGCATAACAGTTTGGAAGATCCCAGATACCAGAAAACAGTGCATCCAGTCATGGAGAAACTGGCTGATAGGCTGCACATGGCCCTTCAATGACTCCCAGTGCAACAGTGCATACTTGTTGTAATTCATTCCCACTGCTTGCTGCCAAAGTTGAAACTCATTGGCTTTGAGTTCCACATGTTTCTGCTCCAATCTTTTGGCAGTTGCATGAACATCATCATTGCTTGCTTGTTGAACTTGGGAAAGGTCCCAACTTTGGGCAATGAGCAGATGCTCATTGGACTCATCAACAATGTTGCTTTTCTCAGTCAGTAAATTCAAACAAAATACACAGAATTTACTAGCTGCATCACCCTTCAACCCCCAAACAGCTTTGTGTGCTGCCCCATCTTGGAGCATCATACCCAATCTGAACCAAAGTTTAATGCTTCCACCTGACCTATCTTCCAGCATCAATCCCCCAATATCAGGGGAACAAGAGGGGTGGTGGAATATGTGATCCAAAAGTGCTGCTGTCACTTGGGACATGCCTGCTTCCATCTCCATGACATGTGAAGACCTTTTGGCAAAAGCAACCAGCCATGCAACCAGCCATGCCTCCTCCTTAGATAAGGCAATTGCACCAAATTGCTTGAAGCTGAGATAAGCTGTTTGAATTTTTCTGCTTGTCTCTGCAGAAAGGGGGTTGCCTGGCACAATTTCATCAGTGTAATATATGAGGTCCCAAGGGTTATTGTGACTGCATGGATGTTTTTCCAAACTTGTATTGACCAGTGCAGTGAAACCACCATTTTGCTCATACAAAGCTTGCAGAAAAGTAAAAATATTGACCACCATGATCTCACCCTTCTTGCCATCCTTAAGCATGACATTGATTTTCTCAGTAAGTGGGCCATATCCATTGTGTTCATCCAGCCTTGCATCTCTGGCTTGTTGCATGTGCTTGCGCTGGTGCAGTTCTGGAAGACCATGTTGCTGGATGTCCTTGACAATGTTAGATAAAGCACTGGAGCTCACATAGGGGTTGCCCCTTCTCAAATCTTCAAGCCTCCTCAGCTTTGCAGGCCTTGAGCCTGAGCTTGAGGCTTCCATGGTTGCAACCCTAAAACTGCTATATATGTGTAGCATGCAATATATTGCAATGTGACTTGAATCATCCAATGTGTGTGTGTGTGCCCACATGCATGTATAAGCCTGCCTGCAGGCTTGTGTGACCTGGAACACACTTGAGATGTCAAATTACAAATCCACAAAAGAAGCTTGGGCTTGAACCAACACACAAAGATGCTTTGGTCAAATCAAACATTGCAGCAACCACTCACCATGTCCAGCAATGCTGTGTGCCAAAAGCCCTAGGGCTTGACAACATTCAAGTAACAAAGTGTCAATTCAAATCATGCATGACATGTCAGGCAGGCATGCCAAGGCCACAAGCATGACATAAGCCTGGCTGGCTTGACATCCAATCACCCCAGGCCACCCCACATTGGCATGTATAGCTACCAAGCATGCATGCAATAAGCCCAAGGGCTTGAAAGGCATGAGGCATGAGTGCACACAGCTGCTGAAATTTGTTTTCATCCTCAGGACTGCAACTTAGTTAGGGAACTGGGTACACTTGGTTTTCAGTGCCCAGCAGAGTTGAGGGCGTTTTCCCAAACAGCTTCCACAAGAGATCCTCCTGAAACTGAGATGGCTGGTGCAAAGGGTTGCCAATCTCCCAGAAGGTCTCACAGAGCCAGGCCATAGGATACCTAGGCTAGGCAGGTGATGAAAAATGTATGCATCCCAAAAACAAAATCATTTAGGCTCCCCAGGCACAAATGCAGATTAGTTGCATTCTAATGCATCCATTGCTCAGTTCAATCTGCCTGTAGACCTCATGGTTTGCATCTCTGATCCAGCTCTGCATGGCAATAGCTTCTGGAAATGTGAAGCACCACAAGGTCTGTTCTCATACCTCAGGTATAGGGCCCACATGAACTCACATGTCTGTGCTGAAACAACTTTACAACATGCCTTGTTCACAGTATAAGCCATGTTGCCATGACTGCCACCCTGAACTCCAATGAAGAACAATCCAACTCTCAGCACCATTTTGCACAAAGGCTGATCTGGTGATGGTGCAGGGCATGGTGCACAAAACACTCACAGATTTGATCCACTTCCAGATGCTGCACAAACAACTCAGCATGAACAGTATTGCCAAGCATGCAGGTGCAACCATGCATGCAACAACACATAAGCCTTTTGGGCTTGAAGACTGGGTAGAAGCACAGCATGCACTTATCACTTGATATTTGTTTTGCCAAAATTGAACACTTGTAGCATAGGTTGCATCATAAGCCTCAAGGCTTGAAGTTGGAAACATGAACCAAATGTGGTGCATGATAAGCCTCAAAGCTTCAAGTTGGAAACATCAAACAAGTGGCTTGCATGATAAGCCTCAAGGATTGAAATTGGAGCCATGTTGCAGTTTGCTTTGATATTAGCACCATGGGTGCCCCAGAGTCACCACCACTCTCAAGTGAACTATTTGCTGCAGCAGCCCCTCAAGCTCAGCTCTTCTACATGTATCTAATTTAAGTTAACAAATCAGCTATGAGAACAACTGAATTGCTTTCAGCAATATGAAATCAACTGGTGAAGGTGTTGTGCCAATTGGCAATGGACCTCTTCCTAGCATCCCTTGCAAAGCTCCTGGCCTCATCATCTGTGAAGCCTTGGTTCAATGCCATTTGCCTGGAGGAGTGGTAGTGCTTGGAGCTCCAAGAATCCAAAGTTCTCTTGCCCCACTCAGCACCAGGGTGACCAGGATCATAGACAAAAGGCATCATTGCAGATGCAGGTCTCTTGAGGCAAGCCTTGGCTTTGGCCTTGCCTTTGGCATGGGCCTTAGGCTTGGGCTTGGCTGAGGCTTTGGCCTTCTGGGCTTTGACATTGCCCTTGCCCTTGCCCTTGCCTTCACCTTTTGTTTTGCTGCCATTTCTGGCAAGCAAGGCATCATAGGCAGCCTGCTCAATGGAGGCACCATCAAGAGAATTGCCACTATGGACATTGCCAGGCTCATCAGTCTGGCCATTCCCATTCTCCAAGGCCAAAGGTGCAGCAACAGAAGCTGCAGCTGGCTGCACCTGAGGTGCATCAACAGTGCTAGTCCTGAGCTTGGGCTTGAAGCTTTCAATCTCTGCAGGAGAGGGTCCTGTTTGGCCATTCTGGAAATTGTGGTTCATGGTCAAGTTGATGTCATCTGCAGATGGCTTCCTGCTGAGATCTTTTACAATTGCTGCCAAATTGGTAGCAATCTCCATGAATGGAGCCATAGCCATATGAGAAGAAGTGTGTGATGATGAGGCAGCAGACCCAGCTGAAGGTGCTGCATGCACTGGCTTGGCTTTTGCCAAAGATGCATGGGTGTGCCTCAAAGGAATGAGCTTCAAAATCATAGGCAGCTTGTCAGGGATGATCTGTGCAGGATGCTCAGTTGAGTAGCAATGGGCATACAACTGTGGTGATAGCTTTGTTGGATCATCTGGGTACTTCACCACAAAGCACAAGCCATTGGCTTGGTCAGGAATGCTGGCAAAGCCCAGCTTGATATCCTGCACCATCTGGTACATGGTGGCTTGGTCAGGCAAATCCTGATAGCCACTCAAAATGGCACCCACAGCACTCTTCACAGACTGTTCTGCCAAACTTCTCACCCCCAAGCTCCTCAGCCTCCTGCACACTGTAGTAACCTTGGTGTGGTAGTTCTGGGAGTTCTTGATGGTATCCCAATCAGACATAGTCAAGTACTGTGGCACATTGATCCTCTGAGGTTTGTATGTGTGTGAATAGTCTTCTCTACCCTTCTCCCTGGTCAGGCTGCCATCAATGGCAACATTCACAATGCCTTTCATATCAGAAGTCAAATTTGGATCATCATGCAAAGCCTTTTGAATCTGCAAGGCATCTGTTGGGGAAAGACACATGGTATCCAACTTGTAAGTCACATTCCTCAGCAAAGTAGATTCAATTTGCTCCATGTTCTTAGCACCATTTTGCTTCTTGAAGTGAAGAAGCTCCCCAACATCTTTGATCTCAGTGATGATATTGTCCACAGACCATGTCATGATGCACACAATGGCAAGCTGTGGCACAAGTTGTGCAACTACTATGATGATCCAAAATGCATACCCTAGGGTGGCAACAATGTGCATGCCAATACCACATCACAAAAGCCCAATGGGCTTGTCATGCAAGATATGTCAAAAGCAATATATTACCAATGTTTGATACATGGTGAGCAATTGTCATGCATAAGCCCAGTGGGCTTGACAGGGACACCAGCAAAAGTCTAAAAGGCTTCAAACCATATCCAGCAAAAGCCCCATGGGCATAATGATCAAGGCATGCTGGCTTCAGTACAAAGAAGGCAAAGAAAGCATGCTGGCTCCAACCCTAACACCCATTCATGTGGAAGCTGCAGTACACATACCATGAGGCAGTCACAAAGCTGACTCTTCAGCAATCTAGATACAAGTCAAATCAAAAGCCCTGAGGCTTGATCACTGCCAACCAAGAATTGTGGCTAGATTCAGAAATATCACAAGCCCAAAGGCTTGACACATGTACAAACTGTCAAAAGCCCAGAGGCTTGATGCATGTACAAGCTTAGCCTACCAACATGACACAACCCATGCAGCAACACTTGTTTTTTGCTTTGAATTATCTTTGGCATATCAAGACAAAGGTCTGTACTGATGCCACTGTCTGTAGCTTTGCTCCAAAAAGTCACAATGTGGGATACCTGCATATGTCCACTAGTCACAACTGGCAATTCAATTTCACAATGACTTCATAGTAATCAAAGTGTCATAAATATATTGATTATGCAATGTAAATACAAAATTACTTGAACATATTTGAAAGCTAAATATAATTTCCAATGTTAGATTCTAAATTTAAATATGTCGAAATATGATCCTAAATTTGGATTCCAAATTTAGATGCCTTAAAAAGTGGTTCTAAATTTGGATTCCAAATTTAGGTGCCCTAAAAAGTGATTCTAAATTTGGATTCCAAATTTAGGTGCCCTAAAAAGTGGTTCTAAATTTGGATTCCAAATTTAGGTGCCCTAAAAAGTAGTTCGTGCACTAAACAATAGTTCTAAATTTGGATTTCAAATTTAAATGTATTGATAAGCACTTGATAATATACTAATGAAATATTTGAATTTGGATTCCATGGAAATTACAATTGAGATATATGAGCATTCATATTAGTACTAAATGTATAATGAAACAATCCATATGGATGCAGGAATTCAGTTGCAAAAACAATGTAGTTATGTATAGAATGATCCAATGTGTGTTGTATTTGGTGAGAACAAACCAGTGTGACATGAACTCTGGTACCCACCTGGAGACAGGGAGCAACATTGCTCTTATCTTGATGAAACATCACAGGTGAAAAAAAGGAATCTTCTCATATCAGTAGTTGTAGCGATCATCCATGCCAGTGTTGACATACATCCTCTGATGATCATCACAAAGATCTCTGAGTTGAGGATCCTCTGCAAGAAACCTGAGTGGTAAGAGAATGGCTGAATGGATTGGACCCACAAGTGGTACAAGCCAGGGCCTTCATGCATAAGTATAGTATCATAATACTTTACTATATTCTTTACATGGCAGTGTCCAATGGTCACAAAATCATTAATCAGTATATATCCAATACATGATACAAGATCATTTGCTCCTATTCATACTGGTTATGACAAAACCCAAAATTCAGCTCTTTGTGTACAACAAGGTACTTGTTGGTCAAATAGGTTGCTCTCTGATAATTGCCTGTCCTATAGGCAACCAGCATGGCACATAACCGAGCTTTGGCACCAGTCTTCAAAACAGGCTTTTCTGGTTTCCAAGGACCATATGCCTTTCCACCTCCACCCTTTGTACCCTCAGGGACAGGTGGGGGCCTGAGAACCGTGGTCCCTTCCAAAAAGTCTGGCTGGTATGGTGCTGATGGGATGGCTGCAGCTGGTGCTGGTGGGGCTGGTGGTGTCATGGAAACATCATCACCAGGGGATGTGGCTGGTGTTGAACCACTCACAGGGGCCCTTTGCTGCATGCAGTATTCCCAAATACTCATGATCTTCATATTGGTGCATGCAGTCTCTGAGTTCCAGGGGCTGTACATGGTCTGTAGATCTTTGGACACCCAACCAATCACAGTGGCATTCTGCCATGCTGAGTCATCATGGCTGTTCTTGACAACTTCACTGGAAAGGAAATAGGTGTCAAAGTGAGCTGAATACCATAAGTATGCAGTCTTCCTGGTAGCCAAAAAGTCATCATGCAAACCAGTACCTCCTTCCTGGGACTTCCAAAGAGGATGCTTTCCATAGAACCCATGACAGTGGTATGCACCAAAGTAATCAACCACCCATAGTTGTTCATTAGTGATCACAGAGTCCATGGAAGATTTTCCAAAGACAATGGTGTCACTCTCAGCTACCTTTGGGGGAGAGCATGGGTCCTTCAACCCTTTGGAAATCCTCTGTGCCACACCTTCAGCTGGCTTGCTGCCTGAAGCACTGGCCTTAGGAGGTGGTCCAGGAGGTTCAGTTGGCTTCCCAGCTCTGGCAATGGCAACCTGTGGAGCAGCTGGCCTGATAACAGGCTTGGGAGCCTTGGCTGCAGAGGCCTTTGCCATTGGACCAGGTTTGATGAACCTGGAACTGATCACCATGGCGGGCAGTGGGTAATGTTGCAAATGCAGATGCCATAGTAGTTTCAAAACCATGTATCAGTATCATGTTCTATGATAGGTTCATAAGCCATGTATATTCCTTCCTGGCAAAATGGCATGAGTGTGCAACCCTTTTGAGCACAACTGTTGATACCAGAATTGCTTACATCATGTTTCAAAAGCCTATTGACTTAATGATCCTGACGACCTCATGCATCACACAAGCCTTCCTGGCTTTGTTTGACCTTAAAGTATGCAGACATGCATGCTAGTGGTGATACATGTGCACAATTCAGTCATCAAAAGTATGAACATGCACACAATCCAACAGCATTAGCCACCAGGCTTGAATCATGCACAATGCAAGCAAGTGATTTGTTTGCATCAAAGCATAAGCCTGTAGGCTTGACTCATGCAACCCTCATGCAAGTCACTGAATTGACTTTGCAACCCTCAGAAGCCCTGGGGCTTGATTCATACAAACATGATACATAATTTGGCAGTGGTTATTCAAATCTCAAAAGCCAAGGGCTTGCTTCATGCAGGTCTCATGCAATAAAGTACAATGGAATTCTTAGCCTAATTGGATTCAATCAAACACTCAGATCAACCCAGACCACCCCCCAACTCCTTGTTTTTGTTTCCACAGCTGGCATTCAAGAATCTGTGTGATCAATCCTCTTGATCTTCCTTGCTACTTTTGGCATACTTGCCAGTTTGGGTGTATGCCCTTCTTTTGTCATTATCACCATCAGCACCCTTGGCATACATCCATTTGCAAAACACACCAACATTTTCAGCAGTGTAAACAATATGCAAATCTTCAGTCTTTTTCTTGCATGCTCTGATGAGCAATGACCCAAAATCAGGCAGTTCAAGGGTAATGCTTTCAGCTCCATCTACAGTGGAAGCTTTCTTCCTTCTCTTGGCAGTCTTGCTGGACTCTGCATCTTCTTCAAAAAGGTCATTTGCCTGAAACTGGGAGGACATCTTTTGAGCCCTCATCCCCAAAAGCTCAGAAAGCCCCTTGCTGCCTTTCAAAGTTGGCTGCTTGCCCACTGATCCTTCTGTCAACAAATTGCATAACCCATAGTTAGCTGTTACAATCTGGAGCCACTTGTGGTCACCACTGTCTTTGATCAATGGGCTTGGGATCAGCCACTTTTTGCCAGTGTTGCAAAATAAATGTAATGTTGAAAGCCTAGCTCCACTTCAGACTCTTGCCCATCAGCCATGCCACTGATACACCAAAGGGGTTGGGCATAGCCAGCATTCAATTTCAATTGGAGCCAAAACTGCATGGTTGACATGGAAGTTTGCCAAGGGGATGCTGAATACAGCCAATGGTACATGTTGAGAATGATGTGAAGCCAAAGGATTGAAAAGACAAACTTATCAACCTTGCAACATAATAACAGTAAGCTGCCCAGACCAACAAATGAGCAGAAGCCTTGCAGGCTTGAAGGTTATGACAAAAATGCAAGAAGCAATCAGAAGCATGATAAATCATGCAGTCCTCTTTAAATAGCACTCCATGATAAGCTTGACATTGAACAGGTAGGCCTGCCTTCATAGGGATCATGGTGTAAGCCCTTGGGCTTGGCATGGCAGGGCATAAACACTTTGGCTTCAAGTAGATGTGAACATAAACCCTTGGGTTTGGCTTGGCATGTTCAGTGGAAGCCCTTGGGCTTGACATGGATACAAATAGAGCATGTTATCATTGGATTCAGCTTTGAACACTTGACATGATGCATCATGGTCACCAAATTATCAAGCCCTTTATAGACCATGTTTTGAACCTTTGTGTCATGCACCTGTGGGGCCACTGCAAAGAATAGCAAGAAAATACCAAATCATTTGGTTCAAGGCTTGACCCTGGTTTGACATTGACCCTGGTAGGTAGGCATGCCTTCACATGGATCATGGTGTAAGCCTTGGGCTTGGCATGGCAAGGCATAAACACTTTGGCTTCAAGTAGATGTGAACATAAGCCCTTGGGCTTGACATGGATACAAATAGAGCATGTTATCATTGGATTTGGACACTTGGCATACACCATGGTCACAAGCAAGAAAATACTCAATCTTTTTCCATGATTCACCATGGTTTGAACTGCATATGCAAAAACTTGCACTCATGTGCTTCACTCCCTTCCTTTGGCGAAGATTGGAAACCAAGCCACACTCATTGTCATGGCTGCATCAACATGAAACCAAATAGAAACACATATTTGGCAACTCAAACCAAACTAGTTTCACTGTTTCTTGTGCTTCTTCAAAGGATGGCCCATTGGATCTTTGTCCTTGGGTGGTGCCTTCAAACTCAGCTGGCAGTGGGCTGAGACAGGGCTATTGTTGGTCAAGACTTTGATGTT